ACTCATTGGTGTGTGTTATCTGGCTTCATGGACAGATAGAGCTGGGTGTCATCTGCATAGCAGTGTAAATGTATGCTATGTCTTCTAATGATGCTGCCTAAGGGAAGCATGTATAATGTAAACAGAATTGGTCCTAGCACTGAACCCTGTGGAACTCCATAATTAACCTCAGTGTGAAGAGGACTCTCTCTCTGAGTTTTAATTCTGTGTGAAACTCTTTGTGCTCGTTGTTTCAGTTTTTCTGAAAAACATAAATTCCTTGATTCAGACTTTAGTTTACATCAGACGGATTCACAGCAGGAACAGCAAAAAGATCACTGACATTAAAAACGCAAGAAACAAAACATCAGGAGAGAAGTGAGTGAAAGACTGACGTTCATTGGTTTAGCCGTCAGTAACAGCTGACTCTGCGCTGCCACTCTGATGTTGATGTGATGGACGACACATGGATCTGTCCTGCTCCTCGTCAGCTCCGTGTTTTACTCTTGGACTTGTTCCTGGCTTTGCATGATCCATAGTTCATAATAATCCTTCTGTATCTGAGCCTCAGTGCAGCTCCTCACTTCATCCTCTGTGTGAAGCTGTTTCACCTTCTCATCAAGGTGAACTTCTTCTGATTAGGTGCCTCAGCAGGTGGGTGGGGCTTCTGTCCTTTCTATGACATCATTCAGGTGTGCAGTGTATAAAACTGATCATACAGTGTATGAACCCAGTGATTACTGTTCACACACTGAGCTCATTACTGGAAACTCAATAGTTAATACAGCGCCTTCTCAACAGGCTTCCAGATACCAGCCAATCAGAACACAATGAGCTTTCAAAGAGGCGGGTCTTAAAGAGACAGGAGCTAACACGGCGTGTTTCAGCCAGCGATGAGCTGAGGGCCGGTTTAGGGTGAATGAGGATTGTTTTGAATCATGCAAAGCTGACATCGACTCTGATTAAATAAGACTTCAGATTCAAACCACCACACACTCTTCAATAAATCTGCAGCAGAGACAAACTCTGACGTTTGACCTTTGACCCCCCACAGCCCTGACAGTGAGGACCCGCCCTCCTGGCCCTCAGCCACAGGGACCGGTGTAGTGACGGCCCCCAACAGCGCTAATGGCTCCGGCTCCGGTTCGGGGTCCGGTTCTGGTTCTGGAGGAGGAGACGTCCGCAGCCCGTCTCTGTCCAGTGACGAGCAGAGCTCTGAGGCGAGCCTCATCACGGATGGGGGAGGAGGAGGAGGGGGGGGGACACCTGTTCATGCCGATACCCCGGAAAACCTGACGCTCGCCGTGCTGGACAGCGTGGTGGGAAAACGCTTCGGACACTGCAAAGGTAAGAAGTGAGATTCACGAGCCCGGCTCACGTGTGACCCCAGGAAGCCTGAAGGTCCAGTTCTGGATCTGTAAGGGACCGAACGTCTCTGTGGGGGATGAAAGTGTGGAGCAGCGGGTCGGCAGGCGGACGCCGCGCTCGCGCCCACAGGGCAGTGCGACTGTGCCGTCAGTGAGCGCGCTCAGTGTGCTGATTGGTCAGACGTCCACGTTCACATCTGACCAAACAAACGGCACCAGAGTCCAGTCAGTGCAGACCTCTGTTTGGGCTGATTGTTTGTACCACGACCTGTTTTATGTGTGTGTTTCTGAGGCTCCTCAGCCTCCAGCAGGTGTGTGTGTGTGTGTGTGTGTGTGCGTGATGTAAACGTGTCGCTTTCGAAGCCTCTGGTCTCCCGGAGAACAGAGCGCTGCGGCGGCGAGAGGCCGTGAGCTGTTTTTTTGGACTCGGCTGCAGAAACTCTGAGAGAGAAAATCTGCTGTAGGATGGAGATCGGCCGAGTCGGCTTCCTGCAGGAGGATTTTCATTTTTACAGCTCATATCACACAGACCGCAGCCTCAGCGCGGGGTGTGAGTGTGTGTGTGTGTCTGTGAGTGTGTGTGTGTGTGTGTTCAGCTCCAGCGGTTACATAATCACTGCCGTCCTCTTTCAGAAACGCAGCCTGCTTATTACAGCTGAAGTGGGTGTGCAGGCATGCGTATGTGTTCCTGCAGGAATGTTTGCCTTCATGCTTGTGTGTGTGTCTCTGTGTGTGTGTGTGTGTGTGTGTGTGTGTGTGTGTGTGTGTGTG